GATGAAAGTTAATATAGTTTTGGACCTCTTCAAGGTATGTTTCTAGCAGACTATATACTTTGAAGAGGTGTTAAATAAATTAGATTACAAGTGAAATGAGAAAAAGCAAAAATACAACTTCTCGCTTTTAATTGGACAGTGAGCACTTGCTTATAAAATCTCACAAGTGTCTCTGTCAAATTCTCATACTAACAACGTTAAAAAATATTTCCATTCTTCTTTCTTAAATTTTATACTTTAATTTAATTTTTTTTGTTTTTATTGGATTGCATTCTTATGGTAGAAGAAATTAAAGAATGATACTCTAAGTTGTTTAGTAGGTATTATATCTCGGGCATTGAATTTCTTTTAAACCTTTTGTACAATGTGGAAAAATTATTAACCTCAAGATAATTCCTTTAGACACATTATCTACATTCTTTTCATATTTTAATCAAAATTCTCTTGCACCATTTTACTATTTTAGATTACTTTTGGATATATTTATAATATATTCAGTGAAACGGTTTATACAAGTGGTGGTGAAAATATAGATATTGCTTAAAGTAACGTATTTTGATAATTATGCACAGGTCACTGTTATTTAGGTTAGAAAGAGTTAGTACAGTTCAAGGAAGAAATATTTGATCTATATTCTTTTTTTTTTAGGTAAGATACCTTTACCGACTTGACAAATAATTTTAAAGGTCCTTTGAAGAATCATAAAAGAAAAAATTCAATTTCACGAAGACCGAGTTTTGATTTTAAATCAATAATATTTTAGTTATTCAAAGAAAAAAAAATTTACTTTATTCTTTGGCACAGAATTTTTGAGTGATTCATTTCTTGAATATCCTTATGCATAATTTATAGTTTTGTTTTTAATTGTATGACACTGAAAGTTTCATATTATAAATTAAAATTCTTTTTTATTTCTTCTCCAAGGTATAGTTTATAAGGAGTAATATTTTGCTCATAACTATCAAAATTTATAAAGCAAAGATTCTGTTTGGCCAATATTTGATTTAAGTTTGAAAAATTAGTATCTGAAATTAAAATTGATATTGAAAAGAAGTTAAAATTACATTTGGCATGACTTTCAACCTGGAGAAGAAATTAAACTTTTGCGACTGAAATATTACTTCATTTGACATATTCAAATATCATTTTAGCTTCAAATTAGGTGGTGTCCAAATAGCTTTATAACTCAAAACAAACATTCTTAAAATAAGCATATGTTAAAATTTCGACATTTTGCAATATGAACTGTAGGTAAAAATTTACTCGCACCCAAAGCTTACACCAAATTAGTAGAATAGTGACATGTGTTTGCTCATGGAGTTCTAGCACTTAATCATGATCAAGTAATACATGTTTTCCCTCTATTAAATCACTTAACTATGGTAAAAATAATTTGTTTGGTGCAAACACAGGGTTAGGGAAGTATTTATCCGAATTGAATAATAATGATATGAGATAAATGTGCAACGCACGTTCAGAAAAAGTAGTAATAATTAAATGAAGCTAAAGTTTAGCAAACATAATTAACCACCTCAACCATTGCTTTCTTCTTTGTTCTTTACCTTTTAAACAAAAAGAGGGAAATGAGGGACAAGATTGTAAGGTGAAGAATCGAACCTTTATCAATCAGGTAAAAATATATTAGGTGGCTAACCACTATGATTCTCCTGTATGTTCTTCAACTTATCAATCCACGTGCATATCCTGTTTTTTAAGAGCTTGTTTTTATTCTTAGACACGCATGTTTCTAGGAGGAACCTTGAATTTATTTATTTGCCTTTTAAGTGTAATTGGATTTTCTTTTATTGGAACTTAAATCAGCTTTCATTTCCAATTTCTCATGAAGGCAATAAAAGTTTAACTTGTAGAATTCATTTGAGTTAAATGGGCTTTGAGAACTTGACTCATTGATACTAAAATATTAATGTTCTTAAAATACTATTGCGTTCCATCTCCTGACAAATGTTGGGAAAACTAAAAATGATTCTCAGTTCCCACCTACAGCTCTTACTGATAACTTCTCAACTTTTTGGGGTCCAACATTTTGGGCCAATTGCTATACTAAGGATTTGGAGTTTCTGCTTATTCATGGCTGAACTTTTTGGGGAAGAGAAGAGGGGAAATTTAAAGAAAATGAGGAAGAAGGAATCAGGACAAGGGTTATGTTTATTAGTAATCTATATTCGAAAATATATTTTGAAAAATATAGAAGCAAAGCAAAATTAGAAATGTAGAAGAAATAGAAAATTAATTCGAGTCCACTGAATCCATAATGTTTCCTTAAGGAACTTAATCCCCTCCTAGTACCCGAATTTTAGGATTATTTCCTCTCAGGATAGAATGGATTACCCTCACTGATGTAGCGGTACTTCAACCCCTAGTGACCAACAAACTTAAAGATCGGTAGCAAATTACACTTACTGCATTTTCTTTAGGAATGGCAATGGGGCGGGTGCAGGTTCAGCCTAAACCCGCAATGATTCATACCGCCCCGCCCCGCCATGCATAGTGAATTTTTTTTTTCAATCTGCCCCGCCCCTGCATAGACCCGCTCCGCTCCGCCCCACATAAGTTTTTTTTATTTTATCTTTTTATCCTTTTTCGTTTCTATTGATTAGTAACATATCTTAAGACCCGTTTATCTATTTTTCACTGAACATGTTGCACTAAAAGTTATGCTATTTATAAAACAGTTTAGGACTAATTTTTTACTCAATTTATGTGAACCTGTTTGACTGGGCACGGAGTTTAAGAAAAAATGAAGACTTTTGGAATTTGTGGTCCTAAACAAGTCAAAAGGGGGCCAGAGTATTTGTGAGGTTATAAAAGCTTCTCAGTAAGGGTAGAATTGTAAGTTTAAGCTAAATTGTTTCCAAATTTAGAAAGGGTTCATTCTTTTTGGAACGAACCAAAATGAAAATAGGTTCACATAAACTGGAACGGAGGGAGTATGATATATATAAAGTTTCACTTATTGATTAATATATAAGGTAAAACTTTTAAAATTTGACAACTAAAATTCATGATCTACAAAATATTAGCAAATGCAAATGGAAAAATAATATAACATCCCGCGTAGATAAACAGGCAGCTGTAGTTATAAATAAGGTATTATATTATTGAAGTTTGATTATGATTTCAATAAATTATTACGTTTTGTTTTGATAAATTAGGAACTACTCCATAGTAATAAATGATTAACGTTATTTATAAGCTGGCCAACTTTCAAGAATGTTGTAACTCCTAATTTTAAAAAAAAAAATTACTAGAATCAAACACAGAACCAAGTAAATGTGTAAAAAAAAAAAAAAAACGGAAAAGCAACTATAAAATTTTCCTATAGAATATGTTGCAATATGTATTTGAAGATTTGATTAAACAAAGGACTTTCAGTATTAGCCTAAAGACCCAAAACTGGATAAAGGCAATGGAGGGTAAAGAAACCCGCAACTCGCCCCGCCCTGCACTCGGATAAGCTTCAACCCGTACCGAACCTGGATAGTTTTAAACCCGCCTCGCCCCGCACCCGTCCGCCCCATTTGACCGAAGCCGAAGTCGAGCGAGCGATAATGACGGCGCGAGGCTTGACTTCTGCTCGACTCTTTTAAGAGCTAGAAGAAGTACAATTGTATATATACCCATCAAAAATTTTTTCCTCCTCCAATATGAGACATTGTCCCTTTATCAAAGACGGGAATTCAAAATTTTCATTTTTCCTTCTATTTCTCCTTCACCATATTTTAAGTTATAACAAACTTAAACCCAACAATGTTAAAATTGCGGAGTTGGGTTTTATGGAGTGTTTTTGGAGGGGTAGGTTGGTCTTTTGGTGAAATGGAGGTTACACGTGGAGGCTTTATAGGCTGCAACATTTCAGATTAGATATCCCAAATGGGCACGTAATTGGTCGGTTAGTGGTAAACGTAAATTTTTAAGAAAGATATCAGTGAGGTTCTCCATGAGCCAATAGGTAAACGAAAGTTATTTATAAGACAATGAATACGCTAGGGACACTTTTTATTAATCCTTTTCCGTTTATAAATATACTAGTGTTCCTGTTTTATTCCTCATAAAATACAAATGCAATACCCAGTGTATTCCCAGGTACAGGAAGAATAGTGTGTATGAAGACACTCTATGAAGGTAGAGGCTGTTTTTGATAGACCATCAACTAAAAAAAACCATTTCAAAGCAGGTTTAAAAAAGAAAATAATAGTGAAGAAGTCATGTTGAAAATAATGAAGACAAAGAACAATAACAACATCAAAATAATAAAGCAATAAGATAACCGAAGGAAAGGAAATAACATGTTAAAAATTAAAGGACAAGGAGATAAGTTGTAAATCAAATAAATGAGCAGTGTAAAATGCAAATAACTCCATGTGGTCAGAGGACCCCTTAAATCCATGCCTTAAATTCAATCATAGATGTGTTAGGTTGCCCTATTTGGCAGTGGCGGACGTAGAATTTCAACTACATTGGTGCATTACTAAGAATAAGGAGGAAAAAATATAGTAAGTGGGTATTGATCCATATTCCTTTTGGTAAATAACTCAACGTTCAACCAAATGCACCATTCAACCTTCTTGGAGCTTGGATGCCAACAGGGCAATAGTTAATATTATATCAATGTAAAAAAATATGTACATATAATATCTAATTATGCGGAAAGACCATGGGTCCACGTGCCCTATAACTGTATTTGGAGAAGCCGCAGGAAGCTTGATGATTTTGTTTAATGCACAATACTAGCTGCCTCAACACTTTAATGACCTCCTTCCTTCTCTATTTGATTTTTTTCTTCCAAAGACAGCTTGTTATATATTAAGAAAGCAAGTTTTCAAATAAAACTACAACATCATTTGCAATTCAACTTGAAAAGGCAAGCTCCTAAGAGAACCTATATGCAGTAAAAAAGAAAAACTGAAAATGTAGCTACATATCTTATGTGCAATAAAATTTCAAGATTTAAAAATAAATACGAAATCCACACGATCAAAGAAAGATAAGAGCTCCGGATTTCTTCGAACGTGATAAGGAACAATTTTAAAATTACTATCTACACATAACTAGTTAAAGAAAAATAATCCCAATAACTAAGCAACGAAAACCACAAATTTGCAAATCCAGAAAAAGCTGACGACATGTTCAGCAACATCATGTTCCCTTTACGAAAGAACTTTCTTTTTCTTTCTTTAATAGTAAGAAGCATCAACCAACGTGCTTTCACTTTCAAAATTACTTCCACGCGTATCATTATGTGACTGGTAAACACCAATGAATCAATTCTTTAGCAACTGATTAACGAGCGTTGCAAATATATATTTCTCCAATTTTCCTCTATTTATGATTGCTTTATCTATTTTGCACTCCCTCTCCCCGTCTGTAACAACTGCACATTGTGAACCGGACAAACATGATGAACAAACTATATATTAGTTATTATAAGGTGTACATTAAAGGAAATTTTGACACCCACCAACTTTAAATTTTAGATTAAGGCGTGCACATAGATAATTAATTTTTTTTAGACAGCATGCCATGACACAATATTGTTCAAAGCTTATGAAATAGGGTCAATTATTATCATAAATAACTTTCTGAATGAAAAAGTGATTCTCACAAGCGTGAAGGCAAGACAGCACTATGTTTCAACCCTAAAACTCCACACACTTCCGGAACCAACGATTTCCTCAGCTCTGCATACGTTTTGCCATTCCAACGCTTCTTCCCCAGCTCCTCTGCCAGTCTCACCGCCGCAACCACCGCCTCCTCCGCCGTAGGATGCGCTGAATCCACAATTCCCATCGCCACCGCCTCCTCCGCCTTCATTTTCGCTGCTTTCAAAACCATATTCCGCCGAGCAGCTGCGGATCCAACCTTAGACCTTATCATCGCCGTAAAATAGTCCGGCAAAGTCATCCCTATATCCAACTCGCTCATATACACCACTCCTTTATCAGATCTCATGGTTACATAATCGTGGCATATAGCTAGCAGCAGCCCCGCCGCCGCAGCGTGGCCGGTGACGGCGGCGATGGTCGGAATTGGGAGTGATAGGAAATCGGCGACCAGCGGCTTGAACAAGGCCACCATGTTGTGTAGCCGATCTTTGGCAGCTTGCGCTGAACCGGCGGCTTGTGCATACTTTAGATCAAAGCCGTTAGAGAAGAACCTGCCTTGGGCTTTTGTGATCAGAACGGAACCCTTCACGGCTTGGGATTTAACTTCGGCTACCAATGAACGGATCGTAGCGATGAGAGTAGGATTCAGTCGGTGCTCATCGTCTCCGGTAAGCGTAAGATAGAAGATGTTGCCTGACTTTTCTAACGTGCACATGGTGGTCAGAAGGGGAGAATGATTTTTTCTCTTTGATATATGTGTTGGACCGGATAAAGATGACGGACACTATATATGAATAACATGAAGGGAAGAATGAGTGGAATATATAATGAATTATAAAATATATTTCACCCTTTAAAGTTGGCTATTCAATAATCAATATTCAAAAATGCCAAAATATGTCATGATCCATAACTCCATAAGTCGCTTTGGAAAGTTCTAATAAATACTTAATTATCAAACATAATACTAATATTTTGTGTTTAACAGAAGAGAATGTCTTTTCTACTTGAAATTATTGATAGTCAATAGTGACAAATAGATGACTCATCAATTAAGCACAATTAGCAACTTGTTTGGATGGTTGTTACGTAATGTATTGTTACTTTAAATACGATGTTTGTTTTGATTATTACTTAATTTTTATTATATCGTATCGTTAAATTCGTTGTTACGTAACGACGAAATATGCCACTTTATATAACGACCGATTTGACGTGGTCGCGTCGTTACTTTGTCTTTTTCTCTCAACTTCACCCTTTATTATAATTAAATAATTTTATTTTATCATTTATCCTATATTTTCATATAATAATTTTACTCTGTATCATAATTTTTGTTTATAATATTACATAGTTATTCTTCATATTATTAGTGCGTGATATCATGAAATGACGTCAAACAAATAATCTATCCAAATATTGTTGTAAGCATTTAAATTTTATCGGATTTAAATTCATAAAATAATTTGGACCACGTTAAATTCAAGACACTAGTCCAAACAAATATTGTGGCTAGTAAATTGCATTAATTATTTAAATTCAATATATATGTGTTGGGTTAGTCCATTCAATTGGACTACAAATTAAATGATAAGCCCACTTCATTAGGCCCAATATGACATCTTCCTAGAGGCCCAGTTTGGTGCCACGCATGAAAATGACAAGGCATGCCAAGTCAAATTAAAAGGCTAATGAAATCGCGCCACGTGTGCAAGTGACATGTTCTGGCCAATGAAATGCGGCCTTGTCACACTTCGATTTGATTGGTCGGAAAGAGTTTATTCTTATCATAACTCTTCCCTCCCACAACTATAAATAGGGGTCTTCATAACCCAGAAAAGACACCAGAAGTTATAACAAGAATCAAGAGAGAGCTCATGGACCAAACACTGCAAATTCCTCCACAAGTTTCAAGCTTCAAGCAATCAAGTTCAAGCTCAAGAACGAAGAACAAATCAAGTTCAAGCTCAAGAACAAAAAACAAATTAAGGTCAAGTTCAAGCTATCAAGCTAAAATCAAGAACCAGATCATCGTTCGTGGCGACAATTACATATTCAAGATCAAGCTCAAAGGCCCTTGAATTTATTTACTATTGGAAAGAAGAATAAGAGGATCCATAGAGATTGTAACATTCAGATATTTGAAATAAAATACTATGATTGTTGCAATATTTTTCGGTCTTGATTTTATTTTTCGACGCAATTTTATTGTCTACAAATTCTGGCACGCCCAGTGGGACAATCTCTACCTCTCATCTCAGCTTTTCAATTACCACAGTTCTAGAACATCGAAATGGCTTTAAAGAAAATCAATTCCAGATCAACTTCCACTAAAGCTGCTAATTCCAAGCTCTATGCTGACGTGGAAAACATCCTCAATATTACCTTTGGAAGCTTTGGGCCAGTCACAAGGAGCAAAGTAAGCTCTTTAGGACAACAAACACTTCAAGTGTCATCCGCATCAAGCCCTATTGTCGGATCTTCATCCTCAAAAGGAACAAAATCCTCTACAAGCGCGACCCAAAAAGGGACGATGTCGCCGAAAAGATCGAAGAGGTTCTTGCTCAACTTAGTTTATCTAAGTCCAAGAAACCTTTCATGCAAGCCGATGATGTTGATTTGAGCGTTGGATCTTTTCATGCGACCTCTAAGCTCTATTCCAACAATGATCCATATTATTCTTCATCCTCAATGGCAATCATGCAAGCAATGGTTATTGAAGCTTCTACTGTAGAAGAACAACTTGCAAATTTGACCAAAGCACTTGAGAAGTTGACCAAATATATGGAGGATCAAGATACTCGCCTCAAAAAGTTAGCAAGTGAGATCGAGAGCTTAGCAGAAGCAAAATCAATTCAAGCACCTGTGGAGCTTTCCGAAGATAAACTTGGGGGAGAATTCGCTGCGAGGCAATGATCGTGGTCAAAGAGATCCAAGTTTCTTCAGAAGGTCTAATTCATGTTGATCAATTAAAGGACTTCATCATGGAGACAATTGAAGATAAAATTGATCCTCCGATTAAATCTTCCCTCGCATATGCAAAGTTATACACACGACAGATTGATAACTTGAAGATCCCTACTGGATATCAACCTCAAAAGCTTCAACAATTTGATGGAAAAGGAAATCCCAAGAAACATGTGGCGCATTTCGTCGAGACATGCAACAACGCTGGGACTTATGGTGATCATCTAGTCAAACAGTTTGTTCGTTCTCTCAAAGGTAATGCATTCGATTGGTACACAGATCTCGAACCCGGTTCTATCGATAGTTGGGAGCAGTTGGAGCAAGAGTTTCTCAATCGTTTCAATAGCACAAGGCGCATTGTAAGCATGATCGAACTTACAAACACTCATCAAGGAAAGGATGAGCCAGTTATTGAGTTCATCAACCGCTAGAGGAGCTTAAGCCTCAACAGCAAAGATCACCTTAGTGAAACTTCTGGCATCGAAATGTGCATTCAAGGCATGCATTGGAGTCTATATCTTACAAGGCATAATGCCCTAACCATTTGAAGAACTGGCAACTCGTGCACATGATATGGAATTGAGTATAGCCACAAGTAGAGATGAAAGGTTTCCTGGCTTTGAGCCTCATGATGAAATAGAAGCAGACGATACTTAGTATGGGGGCAAGTATTCATCCGAAGATGGAACTTAAGAGTCCATGCATGTTGATATGCTCCTTAACGCATGAGCCTAAACTGCAAGTTATAATGCTCCTCAACGCACGAGCCTAAACTGCAAGTTATAACGCTCATCAACGCACGAGCCTAAACTGCAAGTTATAATGCTTCTTGGCACATGAGCATATATTGTATCTACCGAAGCTCCCCAATTTTGAACTAAATCTTTAAGACGTGAAGCTCTTCAAATTCGAGCAAAGTGTCCAAGTTGCAAAGCTCTTCAAATTCGAGCAAAGACTCAAGTCGAAAGCTCTTCAAAGTCGGGCAAAGACTTCAAGTTACAAAGCTTTTTAAATTCGATCCAAACTTCAAGACGTAAAGCTCTTCACCGAGGTATGACTTGACTTAAAAATAATCACTCATTCTGAACTACGGTATGACTTGATCCTCTTCACCGAGGTACATAGGCAACTTAGAGTTTCATTCTAAGTTCAGTCGCATAAGTTCAAAAGATACATAGTGCCCCAGTCGTTGTCCAAATGAAGTATGATGGAAGTAATTCATTCAACCAACACTTGAAAATCAGGCTGAAATTTCATTCTTCTTTTGAACTATGGATCTCATATGACTTAGATGGGGCAAACCTCCATGATAAATCAGTGTCTTCAATAGGACGATTATAGTCTTTTAAGAGGCTACCAAGTATTTGCACTGAAGTTTAGGGATTCACTATGTCTTCATGTTCACCAAATCCTTAAGTCCTCCGGTCTTCAAGTTCGCTGCTCTTCAAGATGAAATATTCAATCCCTCCAAGTCTCCAAGTTGAAATCTTCAAGTCTATCGGTCTTCAAGTTGAGGTCTTCACGTTCGCTACTTTTCAAGTTCGCCGCTTTTCAAGTTGAAATATTTAAGCCATCCAAGTTTCCAAGTTGAAGTCTTCAAGTCCGTCGGTCTTCAAGTTAAAGTCTTCACGTTCACCGCTCTTCAAGTTGAAATATTTAAGCCCTGCAAGTCTCCAAATTGAAGTGTTCAGGTCCGTCGGTCTTCAAGTTGAAGTCTTCATATTCGCCGGTCTCAAAGTTGAATTGTTTAAGCCCTCCAAATCTTCAAGTTGAAGTCTTCAAGTCTGCTAATTTTTCAAGTTGAATTTTATAGTCCACCACTCTTCAAGTTGAAGTCTGCAAAGTCTACCAAATCTTCAAAGTTTTCCAAGTGTTCAAGTCGATGTCATCAACCACGAAGTCTTCGAGTTGAAGCTTTATAACTTTCCAATCTTAAGCTGGACATTTAAGTCCCTTTGCACCTTAAGCTGGCCTCTTCGTGGGTTTGTCCTTAAAAGGAACTATAACTTTCTAATCTTAAGGTGGACATTTAAGTCCCTTTTCACCTTAAGTTGACCTCATCGTAGGTTTGTCCTTAAAAGGAACTATAAGTTTTCAATCTTAAGGTGGACGTTGAAGTCCCTTTGCACCTTAAGTTGACCTCATCGTAGGTTTGTCCTTAAAAGGAACTATAATTTTTCAATCTTAAGGTGGACGTTGAAGTCCCTTTGCACCTTAAGTTGACCTCATTTTAGGTTTGTCCTTAAAAGGAACTATAATTTTCCAATCTGAAGGTGGACGTTTAAGTCCCTTTGCACCTTAAGTTGGCCCCTTCATGGATTTGATCCTTCTATATGTTGTCATGGATTTGATACTTCTATATACTGTTAAGAATTTGTCCTTCTATTTTTTGCCACGAATTTTTCTTCTATGTGCATCTAACCTTGTTGATGAAGATATCTCCATTGCCTACAACAACAAAAAAAAAGGCAGCAAAAAAAGGAAGAAGGAAAAGGACGAGCATTACGTTAGAGTTTTTCTTGTTCACCAGCCCATACTGACCTCTATTATTCTGGGTTCTAGCTTTTCCTATTGGTAATCACGTTAGAGTCACGAACTTTCTTCTTGAAATGAGGATATGACTTCATGTCTTATACTCTTTTGTTGTCTTAAGGCATATCACCTCTCGTCTCTTCCTTCACCTGACTATGGACCCGATAATACCGTCATCTTTTGGTCTACTGTTGTCATCCATGTATTGCATCTTACTCATAATGCTTCCTTATCTCTCTTCTCATTACTCTGCTAACATTTCTGCCTATCCCTTTCTTGTGAAAACTTCAGCAAGACATTCTTTTGCTTTTTTGCTCCCCTTGCTTCATCCATCGGCTCTTTGGGTTGCTCAACGTCCTTGCTCTACTAGG